ACGCAAAAAGAGTTAAAAAACTATGTTGTGCAGAGTCTGCAGACAAATAAAGTGGATAACTTCAGAGTCACATCCAGGGAGCATCCCTGCGGGAAGGGGGGGGGTGGGGGACGCAAAAAGAGTAATAAACTATGTTGTGCAGAGTCTGCAGACAAATAAAGTGGATAACTTCAGAGTCACATCCAAATTCTTTGCCATGGCATGGCAGAACACCAGTTAAAATATGTGCGGTGAGAGAAAAAAAATACATGGCTGTCCCCCGATGAGGAGAAGGCAGCGTTCTTTAAAAAAGGCAGCATTCTTAAAAAAGGCAGCGTTCTTCAAAAAGGCAGCGTTCTTAAAAAAAAAAAAAAAAAAAAAAAAAAAAAAAAAAACATTCGTTCCTTTTTAATAGTTTTTATTTACATTTTATTATTTTCAATTTTTTATTATTTTTTTTTTTTGGCCAGACCAGGCAAGTGGTCCCGGGCTACTGTGGTAACTTAGTAAAAAAGGGAAAGAAGAGAAAAAATAGAAAGACAAGATGACGAAATCCAAACCCCGCGTTGTATGGCAAAACGGCCCCTGGCAATTCTTATGCCTTGCACTTGATTATTTCTCCCTGCCCCTCCTTCCTTAGGCCCCCCCAACCCCAGTTCTTTTCCCTTTCAAGTGTCCTGCCGAATGGAAAGGTGGTGAACGCTACTCTTCTATGGTGCTATCTGTCACAAAACCTCAAATCAGGTAGTAGGGTGTCAGATTGCCGGGTAGAAAAATACTCCCAAGAGCGCATTCACAAACTTTCACACAGCGGACAACTGATAGAATTAAGTCAAAAGTTCTCAAAACTCAAAAGAGGCAAACAGTCAAGCCAGCAGGTAGACATGGCTGACTAATATGGAGTCTTCCCTCAGGTTTAAGTCTTTGCCCTGGAGGAAAGTGACTCGAAGCGTATGGGGCTGAAATGAGAAATGAATCTTGATTGGTAAATACTAAATAAATAGTCTCATAATTCGATGGTCATGCAGCTGCCAGAGCCCAAAATAACACCCAAGGTCCATTTATAGGTCACGATCAAGTACCTCCCCTCATTCCCTAGCCCTGCCCTGCTACCACAATCTCTCTCTCTCTCTCTCTCTCTCTCTCTCTCTTGTGTGTGTGTGTTTCATACAATCACCTAATATCAAAACCAAATTAACATCGCAGATGGTGAAAAGGAGTGCAAGACAGGGCATATGCGTGGTTGAGAGCCAGGTGCCCATGCACCCGCCTGACATGACGGCCATGGCAGAAAGCAACTGAAAGCCAATAGCAAGAAACATGAATCGTTGTATCCTCATAATACTTCGGCCTTCAGGCTGTCAAGCAGCTGGCGAGCTGAAAATTTAACACGAAGTCGATATATGGGCCATGATCAAGTCCCTCCCCTCGTTCGTTCCCCCCATCTGTGTCAGTTGTGGAGCAGTGGTTGGTGCCCACCAGCAATTGCCGCTAAGGTGGATTATGACCTACACTATCAGCTGTTACGGGGCATGCCGACCCTTGAGAGTTCAGTGTCCCAATGAGTCGGTGAAATCCCGATGAAAGTCTGTCTCCGCCCTCCATTCTGTCCTCTTCCCCCTTTCTTTCTTTTCTTTTTTTTTCCCGACGGACCACAGATCAGATATTAAGATAATTAAACTGACCAGAACAGAAAGTAGTTAGTACACTTGATCTTAGCCAAAAGGCTGAGAAAGCCTACAGTTCACAGGGCAATTTTCTCCGACAAAACCTATATCCTATCCGTTACGCAGCATTGGCCACCGGGGGGAGGTCCATGACGTGATGCGCACCGGATTCGGGTCGACGTTTTGGTGAGGGGCGGCGGATGAAGGCGATCGAGGGCGGGGGAGTGTGCAGAGGGGTGCGCATACCGAAATGTTGACAGCGAGCCATTAAGCGAGAGCGCGCGCCCCGGGGGCGAAGCACACGGCTGCCATTGATGCAGACGAACATCTTGGAGGCGAGCCATCGGATACGCAGGCAGCTTTTTTTTTCTTTTTTTTTCCCGGTTGGCCGTCGTTTTGTGTCCCTCTTCTCCTTTTTTCATTTCTCACGCCTGTCGTTTTGTGTCCCCCTTTTTTTTGCTTTTTCTTTCTTTTCCTTCCTTCCTTTTTTCATTTATCACACGGCTGTCGTTTTGCATCCCCCGGTAGACCGTCCTCGTTTCTGCGGATGAACATCTTGGAGGCGAGCCATCCGAAATGCAGTGTTTGTTATTTCTGCCGGCATAGCCCGCACTGCGGGCACTTAACTAGTACTACATTATATATAAATGCAAAATTATAAATACAAATATATAATTATATAAGACAAAATATATCTACATACATATATATCATACATATGAGAGAGAGAGAGAGAGAGAGAGAGAGAGGAGGTACCTCCAGGGGTACCTTTGGGATGCATTACACACACACCACTATCTTTAGACTCTTTTTAGAGTGTAGCAGATTCCACCTAGATTACGTTTCAAGCTACTGCAGAATGCACATTTGAAAAAAGGACAGCAGCCGAAATGGCTGAATAGTGAACAGCAAATACAACAAATCATGTGGTTTCTTCTTCGTTTTGTGATAATAAATTCATCACCATCCTCGCATAATGATGGATAGGCGCATCAATTACCCAATCCTGACATAAGGAAGCCGTGACAGTAAATAACAACACTGGGCTCTTTGAAGGAGGAGGGGGGGGGAGGGGGCGAGGGGAACTGTCTAGCCAGGCTGCACCCTCACATAATACCAGGTGTCACAAGTGCTCGTCATGTACCCCCTCTCCCCCTCTCCCCATCTCCCCAACAGCCCCACAACCCAGCTTCTTTTCCCTTTTCACATTCAACAAGCCTTCATACATGTTGGGCTACTGGCAGCAATCCTGATCCTTTCTGTTGAACTGTTTCTTCTCGTTACTTTTGTGGGAAACAAAAGAAGGGCAATCAATGCCGCCCACTCGGGCCTCTCAACCTTAATGGGGAGGAGTGTGGTGTGAGTCAACCTTGTACTATTCATTGACTTGCCAGGGGAATAGGAACCGGACTGTTGCTCCCCAGAATGGCAGGAGCCAGAACCAAGAGGTTCTGATAGGGAAAAAAAAAAAAAGAAAAAAAAAAGGGTCATGGATTAGCGTTGTCTGCTGCTAGCCTGCTGCTCATGGCAGAACCATCTGTGAAGGAGTGCTGCATCACATCTGAAGAGTTGTGTACCGCTGCAGACACACTG